TGAACTTGAACCTGTGTTTTCAAGTGTTTTGACTGGTGTTGTTGCAGTGCTTCCAAAGCGAAGAAGTGTGGCTTTCTTCCGTTCTGTCACTTGAGGAACGTGTTTTGGTTGTAGACGTTTGCAACGATTTTCCTTTCGTGTTTTCGAATTTGTTTTTCTTCGCGCAGCAGATTTTGCAGTTTGAAGCAACCAGCAAATTATGCAGTTTACAAAAAGCGGAAGGTTGGGAGGTGCGCAGCCTCCCCAATTGCAAACCTTGCAGAATAAACTTTGTTTTCTTTGTTTCTACTGTATAAAATGGAAACGTGCGGTTTTCTTTCTTGAGAAACGCAGCGCTCTCGGCATTTGCAACCCTTCCAGAATGAACTTTGTTTTCCTTTTTTTACGCCTTAAAACGAAAAGGTGTGGCTTGTTTTGTTTGTTGGTGAAGACGCGTGATTGTACTTGAGGTTTTGGTTTCGGGCAATTCATTTTGTTTTTTGCTGTCGTGCTTTCTACAACGAAAACGTGTGGCTTCTCCTTCTTCATAAAACCGAGGCAGAACACTGAGATTGGAAAAACAAAGGTCGCGTGGCTTGAACGTCTGCCGCGGTTTGAAGGCGCTTGCAAGTTATGATTTGGTCGTGGTTGTGTACATTTAGACGTTTCGAAGGGCCTTGCTAAAGTTCGCGCATGTCAATGCCAGCTGCAAAAGCTGCACAGGTTGTAAAAGCTCGAAGTAGGAAGCAGTCACCCTTGCGTTGCTTGAGATGTCTACAAAACTTTTGGTTTCCACCGGCCAGCACCAGAATACTTTGATTTTACCATTGACAGGAATACTCTAAACCCATATTGGCGGCTGATTTTTTTTGTGCTGTTCCATGCTAGCCCTAGTCCTCCCCACTTTCCCGGTCGAGTCAGCGCATCCACGTCGAAGACGTCGCGTCGGCGAAGGCGAAGCGCTGAGATTTCTGCACACTAGCCCGAACCATGGCATTGGCAACTAGGTCGCCAAGTCACACCACGACAGAGCAACGTGCACGAACTTTGTGGGCTGTTGGTCGCTGCGGCTTGGTAAACGAGCCCACGGCGAGGGTGAACACTGCCTCCGCGGTGTGGCCGAAACGCTTTTCTTTAATGAACTTATCAACCGATCTGCACGCGGTCCCACGGACCTACAAACTACGGCGTTGCATTCGGTTGCAGAGGCTCAGTGGACCGGCAGGTCGTGCAGAACGTTCTGGACAAAGGCGATGCCTGCGCGCCAAGCATGGGAGCGGTGATGGGTGGAGGCTCTAGCAAAGTGGCAGCCAATGCTTATGCGACAACAACCATGAGCGCGCTTGTGAAAACGTTGCAACGTGCTTCGGGAATCGCACGGCCACGACGGCAAGCCACAGCGTACGTTTTTCGTGCTCGTTCCGCGCATGCTGCTCGCATTCTTGCCTGAACACCAGCGTGCCGGCCGCCTGCCAAGAGGCTCCTCCGAGGGAAACAGAAAACAACCGCTGTTCTGGGTTCTTTTTCTGCGCCGGTTCGCACTCGGTCCACGGACCTGCAGCTGCCGCCGCTTGCTTCGTTCATCAGGTGCACACCGAACCCGATCGCTGCCGTTGGGACGGGCACTAGCACGTGCAACGAAGGCCGGCGCGTCGATCTGGCGAACAGCTCACAGTCGGTATCACATGATGCCACAATCGCTTTGCGGTTGTTGCATGCTTTTGCGTGATGTGCTTGCTCATCCAGGTGCTGACGTTCGAGAAGGCGTGGCATCGCGTTGGCTCGAGCTGGGCGACACAAACGACTTGAGACCTCCAGCTCCCGACGCGGTCGTCTCATCCCATTAGGCAAGAAATATGGGCGGGCGTTGGAGGGAGGAGGCCGTGTCCTTCATCAGCCTCCTTGCGCCAGTTAGGGCCTTCAGTGCACCGGCCTTGCGCCAGGCAGTGCGCAGGGCCTGGGTGCAGCGCTGGAGCGGCATGCTAGCACTCCCAGCGCCATGTGACAATGCAACGACACATTTCCCGTTGGCATACATCAAGCGGTTCAAGCTGCTGGTACGAGACCTGGTTCGACTACGGTCTTACGGAGCACCGCCGGCTTTCTGGGCCGCTGCGGCTTCAGGCTCAGCGACAGTGGGGCATGCTGTCGGTCGCAGTGCAGCAAGCGGTTGTCAGCACTGCCCTCGGCCAGCTGTGGCCCCAACTGCCGCATGCCACCCGCGTTGAGGGCCCACAGCGCGACCATGTGCTCGACCTCGCCGAGGCCGTATGGCCGAGCCGCCGGTTGCTGTGACCCTAGGAGTAGCTGTAGAGTGTGACACCGTAATCCGCAGTTGCATGGGGACTTGGACTGTCGTTTGATCTGCAGTCGCAAGAAAGGTGCGAAAACAAAACAAAAAATTTGCTAAGCAAATGGCCCTTGCCAGACCGACGCGATGCGACCACAAGCAAACCGGACCACCCAAAGCGGCCGCCGACGTCGACCCCAATAACCACCAAGCGGCAGCGGCCGGGCTCAAGCTCAGGGTGTTTTATTTGGTACGTTTGCCGGCGTTTGCGTCGTGCAGCGGTTTGATATTCGATATGGCATGAAGCAAGGTGACGGCTTCAGTCTTGTGTTGTTTCCTTCTGGGCTCGAACACGCATTCAGGGTATGGGAGGCGTGTAATTCGACCAACGCTCGCTTCTTTTTTTAACACACCTTTTTGCTGTTGCCCACTTTTTGTCCAGTCAACGGGTCCTACCGCAGCCCAAGGCCTAAGCACGGGCAGAGAGGCGGCTGGGCTGCGGCTTCCTTCCAGATAGCATCCGCAAGGAGCTCATGCAGAGTTGGGGGCGGGCCAGCAGCAAGGGGGTCCGAATGGAGGGGGAGCTTCAAAAAGGTTGTGGCGCGCGCGCTGCGCAGCAACGGAGATGAGTCCATTCCAGCGGAGAACCCACGCGGTGTGGGCAGAGCTGCGGATGGCGGTAGGGGCACTGGCAGCATGCCTCCTCGACCCAGCGCCCGCCGACCTCGAGCGCGAAAACAGCGGCATTCCTCACGTTCTGATGGCAAATCTTCGCCAATCCCGTGGGTGTGCTTACCGAGTTGGGTTGCGTTGGGCTAGGCCATCGACCCATCACATTAGCCGATTTCGAAAAGCACAAAATCCGTCCAGGAAGGGTGGCTAACAAGGACACCGCAGAGAAGGAGGCAGACAAACCCCAAACCCCACGGCTGGCAGTCAGCCGGGTCAACGGCGAGCGGCCCGATGATTTCGAGGAACACATGTCCGGAAAAACTTCTTAACCCAGATGAAGCCTACTTTACCATCATGGTAACGGCCATGCGTCAATGCTGGTGAGGTTCAGGCCCGCAACAGTTCGCCATCCTGTTGCCATCAGGCATCAACCGAGTTCCCGACAACTTGACAACGAACGAATGGAGTCAAGACAAAGGATACACATTCTCAATGTTGCCTGAGCCTTTCCACGGACCGCATATAGCTCCGATGAACAAAGCCATAGAAGCCTTCGCAAAAATCATGCTGCTTCACATGTTTCAACGTAGAATGCTAATATCCAGAGCGCCATGGTTTGTTGCCTCCCCGTGGCCGACCCAAGCTGCGTGGCAAAGAGCCGAGGCGGGCACTGGGAGTCGCCTACGGAAAAACTTCGGTGCTAGGACAACTAGGGTATATTATTGTACCGTGACATGCTCTTTAACTTATTGGACGAGCCCAGAGAAGGGAAACTTGAGCGTCAGGATGACAGCAGAAGCGTAGGGCGCAGAGCTTCGCGTGCGTATGGCGCATGTTTGACAAGATGTGGCATGTGCATGGTGGTTCCTAGACCGTTAGAGGGCGTCGCCAAGGTTCCCGCGAGCCGGCGAAGTTTTGGACGTTCTCGAGCGCAGAGGATCTTGGCGGTGGCCCTGGGGATCAGCCTTTCAAAGCCGAGGACTGAAAGGGGGTGGAGCTGAGAGGGATTCAGGCTTCAGGTTGGCTGTTGCCAAAGAAGCACGGCTGCAAAAAGGTTAATCTCCACGGTTTTCCTTCCCGAGCACAAATACAGTGGCAAATGGATTCCTGCGAGCAGATGCTTCTAATGAAAGGACGCCGGCAAGCTGCAAAGTAGGGCTTTTCCACCATGAAAGGAGACATGCCATAAGCGGAAGCTCGGATGCTCGGCGGCGACGCTTCAATTGTCAAATTTGCGGAAGTTTAGGAACATCGGGTCTGGATGTAATTGGGGGCGGTGCAGAAGGCCGACACGTGTGAACAGTTCGTTGGTCACTGATCACTGAGTGGCAAGTTCAACAACGAAATAGTATACATGTGACAAACCCTCATGTTGTGTTGGCGAGCAGAAGGCTCACACGTAGCCCACCAAGCAGAATCTTAATCCCGATAGAAAGATCATATCATAGGCTTTCTAGCGGTCCTCTACGTTCACGTGCAGCTCTCGGTAGGTTTAGCGTGCCAGGGAAGCTTGTGTCATGTTGTGGGCATGTGGCTTTTATACCACGTGCTGTATGGCGAGGCCGCGCAATACAGCAGATAGCAGACATGCACACACACACACATTTGTATATATATATATATATATATACTCAAAGATATGGATGCACGCACGAACGCACACACACACACAGACACACACAGACACACACAGACACACACAGACACACACACTGAATGCTAAGTGAGGTTTCTGTATGCGAAGAACCAGTACCAGCACCCAGGTCTCGGGCGACCACGTGCTGGGTAACTTTTGACATGTGGCATCATGGACAATAACTGCAAAGAGGAAGAGCAGAAAGTTCGTGGCCTGAGACCTCTACCTGCCTGACTAAACCACAACGCCAGCCTGAACCCCAACGCACCGAAGGACAAGACAAGGACCAACGATCGCCATCCAAGCAGAAAGCATATATACCAGCACGACGATGAACCATGTACAGTGAAGACCAGGATGTCACAGGCATAGAAGAATAGCGCCCAACGCACGCACTGAGGGTTCTCGGCTTAGCCCCGCGCCATGTCCAATGGGATACTTGCCCAGCAGTTCAGCCGACACATTGATGAAGCAACCCGCCCCCACCAGTTCGCCTTGTCCACACGTGCTGGGGCTGAGGCTCTCGCCCACTCCCTTCAACTCGAGACCGATTCGGATCCCAGCTGCACTGTCCTTTCTGTCGACGGCATTGGTGCATTCGACTTCGTGAGCCGCCGAGCCATGCTGACCGAGCTCCAGCACACACCCGATGCCTCTGCCATGCTTCCCTTCGTCCGCCTGTTTTATGGCGCTCCGTCTTCATTTGTTTGGACTGACGATGAAGGCGTCACCCACCTCGTGCCCCAGGCCGAGGGTGGCGAGCAGGGCGATCCGCTTATGCCCGCGCTGTTCGCCCTTGGACTTGCACCGGCGCTCCGCTCCTTCCAAGAGGAGCTCCTCCCCGGCGAGCGTGTGCGGGCCTTTCTTGACGACATCTATGTCACCAGCTCGCCCGCACGCACTGCTACAGTGCTGTCGCGCCTCGAGCACCACCTGTTCACGTCCTTGCACATCCGGCTCCATGCCGGCAAAACCCGTGTTTGGAATTCTGCTGGTGTACGCCCGCCCCATCTCCCGCCCCCTCCCGACGGGTGCACCAATTGGGTTGGTGACCCAGCCTTTCCCCCGCAAGACCGTGGTTTGCGTGTCCTCGGCAGCCCCCTTGGAACGGACGAGTACGTCGCTGCGCAGCTCCAACACCTTTCAGTGCAGCACCGTGCTCTCCTCCAGCTGCTCCCTGGCATCCATGACCTGCAGGTCTCGTGGCTACTGCTGTTGTTCTGTGCGTCACCTCGCGTGCACTACTGCCTTCGCCTGCTCCCGCCTGCACTCACGGCTGTGTTTGCCGCGGCACATGACCACAACATCCTGAGCTGCCTAGCCCAGCTGCTCCACGTTGCTCCCGGCGAAGCCCACGGCGCCGACCCCCTTCCCCAATCCGCAGCCGCGCGTGCAAACTTGTGTTTGCGCCATGGTGGCCTTGGTCTACGCAGTGCCGCTGAGCACGCGCCTGCGGCATACTTTGCATCCTGGGCTGACTCGCTCGGGGCACTCCGCGTTCGCGAGCCTGACTCCTGCCACGCCATTGCTCGCTTGCTTGATGACGCAGCGTCTGCCCCCTCACTCCCCCGCTGTTTGAGCTCCCTTGCCGGTGCGGTCCGCCTTCTCCGCGACAATGGCTTCCAACCGCCTGGATTCGGCGACCTGCCCCCGCATCCCCCCGTTGCTCCCGCCGACCCCGACGAGCCTGTCGACACCACTCGAGGGTGGCAGCGGCCGGCCTCCCGTGCTATCGACGATAGCTTCGCTGGCCGCTTCCGCGCAGTCCTTGACCCTCCTTCCCTCGCCCTGCTCGAGTCCCAGTCGGGGCCTTTTGCTTCGAGGGTTTTTACTGCCTTGCCTTCCAGCCAGGAGCTCACTTTCGACTCGCCTGTTTTCCGTGCTTTGCTGCTCCGCCGGCTCCGCTTGCCTTTGCCGCTGGACGCTGCAGCCTGTCGCTGCCGTCGCCCCGTTGACCCCCTCGGTGACCACCGCGCTGCTTGCCCCCGCTCCGGCATCCTGCGGTCCCGCGGCCTCCCGCTCGAGCGAGCTGCTGCCCGTGTTTGCCGCAAGGCCGGGGCTACAGTTGCCAGCAATGTCCTCGTGCGGGACCGGAACATCCACCCTGAGCGCCTCGATGACCGCCGCATCGAAGTCATCGCAAATGGACTCCCGCTTTGGGGCGGAGCACAGCTTGCTGTCGACACCACCCTTGTGTCGCCTCTCGATGCCAGTGGAGCTGCGCGCCGGCATCAGCGACAGTACCGTGGCGCCGCCCTGCGCCTTGCCCGCAGGTCCAAGGAACGCACCTACCCCGAGCTACTGCGCTCGCAAAGGTGCAGGCTCGTTGTCCTTGCACTCGAGGTCGGAGGCCGCTGGAGCTCAGAGGCTGCCCAGTTTGTCCGCCTCCTCGCTCGCTGCCGGGCCCGCGCCGTCCCTCGCCCGCTGCGACCTGCAACCATCGCAGCCTTCACCTCCCGATGGTCTGCCCTGCTTGCCTGTTCTGCCGCCAGAGCCTTCGGTGCCAGTCTGCTTGGTCTTTCCCTTGCCGGCAGTGCCAATGTCGACGGCGACCAGCCGCTGCTCAGCGAGGTTCTCTCTTCGACTCGCTTCGACGAGACCCCGCCCCTTGCCAGCCGTCTGCCACCGCGCCCTTGAAAGCGCCTTGCCGTGCCTGCAAGCCTGGACTTCACGCCGTAGGACCAACCCGCTTTTCCAGCAGGCCAAGTGTCGTGGAGGTACGCATGGTCCAGCGAGAACGAAGAGCAGATATGGCTGCAAGAACGCCCATGCCATCTCGTTTGGGCACAGGCCCCAAGTCTCACGGCACTTGCACGGACGTTGGTGGCAGCCGCGTTTGTGGAGGCGAAGCGTGGAGCCCTCATGATGACCAGGAGGCTGTTGCAATCAGCTGCCGCTGAGTCCACAGGCCATTCCCGTTGCCATGTCGCTTCAACTGTGGCCCAACTCATCAGCCTCTCAATGAAGTTTTCAGACGGAGCTGACGAGGCCTCCTGCATCGCTGTGCGACAGGTTTGGGACGAGCTTCGACAGACTTTGGGCACAGAAGCCGTCCTGCACAGCAAGTTCGCACCCTGGGGGGTCCTTCTTTTCGGGTTGCTACATCATTTGCGGGGCCAAATTCGAGCCGGACCGACACACTGTCGGCTAGCGTCTCTGCGCGAGGTCTGCGAGCCCAAAGGGCTGGCGGCTGTCACCGCAGAGGGGCTCCGGAAGGCTGTCGCAGGGAGACTGGTCCCAAGCGTTCCAGCAATCATGGCGTTCCTTTCAGAGATCTCCACGCTTTGCAACCGAGGTGTAGCAGCTGCCCACCTTGCCTTGGCACAAAGCTTGCTGCTGCTGACGGCTCAGGCTGACTTGCCCCTTCTGCAGCGCCAGAGAAAGCCACTCCGAGCTCCCAGCTGCCAGAACGGAGGATTTCAGTCTCCGAACGCAGAGGCCTGGGTTTCGAGGCTGTCCAGGACCCAGATGGAGGTCGTGGCCAAGGAGCTGCCGGAGCTTTCCTACGCTGGGCTCCGGATCCCGATGAAGAGGCAGAACCTCTCCAGCTTCACTCACGCAAGCCGTGCTGGCAGAGGACATCGCCCAGCTGTTGGAGGAGGCGTGGACCATCCTGGCCGGCGAGCAGATCGAGGGCTTGTTGGAAGGAACCTGGCCCTTGGCGGGCTGGGTTGGAAGTTCTTCGCTTGCCTGACTGTCATCCGCCCGCCACCGCAGATCCGCCGGCGGGGACGCTTCTACTGAAGCTCAGCCGCGCGGAGCCTTGGGCAGGCCCAAGATCCTGGGATGACAGTGCGGCGACCGAGAGCAAAGTACGCACCAAAAAAAAAAAATGGGATCATGGGGTGCAAGGTCCCAGCTGCCATACCAGGCCCAGAGCACCTTGCTGACTCCCTCCAGCTGCCACGCAGGACCCAGGAGCGGAGTCCCCCATAGCAGGTACACTGAAATGGCCAGTTTCAGCTTCCCGCATACTCAGTTAGCTTCGTTGGATGAGATCACTGAGCATGCGTCTCATCCCCCTGCTATAACTATAACTCGGTCAATGCGAAATCAAAGTCAGTGCAGAACGTGAGGTCCCCTGCTATAACTCGGTCAATGCGAAATCAAAGTCAGTGCAGGACGTGAGGTGAAGACCCTTGGACACAGGGTTGTCACACACACACACCCCGCCGAAGCGGGGTGAAGGTTGATGCGGAGCAGTAAGTAAAATCCGAACTTGCAAGGTTGGGTAGACTGCTGGGTAGTTGGGTGCACTCCAGGCTCTGGTCGAACTCTTCGCCAAATGTCAAACTCTGCATAGTAGAGGGACGCCCTCTAAACTCTGGTTGAAAATGCCAAAATGGCTGTGGAAATGGCTGCGGAAAAGGCTGAAGTAAACAGCGGCGATAAAAGAAGCTGCGGCTGCTGGGTAGCGGATGCCCTCCAGGCTCTTATCGAACTCCTCGCCAAATGTCAAACTCTGAAGGCAGCTGGTAGTTGGATGCCGAAAGCTGCTGGGTAGTTGGATGCCCTCCATGCTCTGGTCGAACTCGTCGCCAAAGGTCAAACTCTGCAGGTTGCTGGGAATTTGGATGCCCTGCTCTTGTGGAACTGGTCGACAACCGTCAAAATCTGCAGGCAGCTGGGTAGTTGGATGCCTTGCAAGGTTGGGTAGAGTGAGGACAAATGTCAAACTCTGTAGACTGCTGGGTAGTTGGATGCAATCCAGGCTCTAGTCATGGTGATCCCATAAAAATTGTGCAAAGCCAGGACTGCGACGCAGTACGACCGAAGATGTTTTACGAAGCATCGAGAAAGCTCTCTTCAGGGTGCTGCAAATCGGCTGCGATCTCAAAGTGTAGACCCATCGTCCTCATGGTGTGTTCGAAAAGGGCTGAAGGGCCGCTGCCAGCGGATGCACCGCCGCCTTTCAGGTGCCGAAACGGCCAACACACAGACGAAAGTCCGCACCAGTATGCACCGGAGCTTTCAGCAAGTTGCACGCGGATCATGAGTGGCTCAGATCAGGTGGATTTTGGGTAACGTATCAGCCACCTGTAGTCGTGAAACACATATTTTGTAAACCGCATGAGCTAAGCATATGTCGACCCAAAACATTTAACGACAGATTTTTGCAACACAAAAGCACACATGAGTCAAACAGCAAGGGGGTATTCGACAGACTTGCCGGTTAGAGTTTCAACACGTCACTGACATGCATTATTTAAAGAGTATTGGAATGTATTGCTTGGTTTTGAGTGGGATTTGAAACGCAATTACGTAATGATTAAGACTTAAGATTATACGACCGAGTGTTAATTGAGCACTAAGTTGCTTCAGCATCTACTTGCAAGTAAAAATGTCTTCGAACGACATGCCAATAGCAAGGAAGTTTAGATAAACAAGCATGAAATGTTGGATATGCTGTGGTTGAACATCAAGTGACAAATACTTGTCAGACAAATGCTTTTCACTATTCTGTTGTTGAGCCAGAAACTAAACTAGTTGATTTTGTAAAGTTCAGTACTTGATGACATCAAGTAGGTATCGAACCTGTATTAGAACATGTATTCCTGTACCAGCTATTAACTTCTGATATTGAACAACCAGTTAGACGGTTTGTGTTCTCAAGTATTAACAGCTAGGCAAATGTTAGTGAATGTTGCGCTTCAAATTTGCTGTACTTTGGTTAAAGCAGCTCAAACTCGAATTAAGCACTATACGAGTATTCAAACATCATGAAGTTGGCAGCAAGTCCATGTTCAAAACAAAATCCCAACGCAAGGCATTTAGAGCCGTCTGACAGCGATCCCTGAGTACGCGCGAAAGACAGGGAGAGCGAGGGAGAGAGAAGACAGTTTGGGGTTACATTTTGGGTATGCAGTGAAGACCAAAATTTCGAAACTCGCAAACATACCAAGACCTTCGGACACCAAGTTTTGGAATTCCGGAATTCCAGAACACCCAAAGATTCTATCAATCCAAAATTCCACAAATATAAAGTCACAAATTTCAAAATTTTCAAAAAGTTCCAAAACACCCAAAATCTAAGCTTGCCAACTGTTCAAAAGCTCTTAAACCCACGGAACCAAGTTTTGGAGTTCCGCAAGTCCAAAAAATTCAAGAGCTTCTTGGTAAACTGTTCAGAGTTGTTGGAATCTTGCCAACTATTCAAAAGCTCTTAAACCCACGGAACCAAGTTTTGGAGTTCCGCAAGTCCAAAAAATTCAAGAGCGTCTTGGTAAACTGTTCAGAGTTGTTGGAATGTTTGGCTGTTGTGGAGTCTTTTTGAATTTTGGAATCGGAGAGCTTTCATGTAGGTTGGTCCTGGAGGCGGTGGGTTAGCATCCATAATGCGAGCGACAAAAAACATACATATATATTATACATATATATATATACATATTCTTTTATAGAAATATGTATACAAACATATAAATCAAATATACAAGTATACATATATGTGCCCGATACCTTTAGGGTCTATATAACCGCGGTTTGTTGTCTTCAGCACATAATGGAAAGCAAAATATAGGGTATAAGCACAGCCCACATTACAAAGCCACGACCTGAAAAGTTTCGGATCGACTAAGCTATATTTTTCTACCAAGTAATTATAGCAAATTATTCGCATTCAGGGAGACGAGTGTTATATAAACAGAACATCGAGTGTTGATCCCAACACTGTCGATGAATAAACATTCGTTGTGATGACACATTTCAGTGTATAGAGTCCATACATCTTCCAGGAATGATGTATCGTCGTGGAGATATGCATAGCACTGTCAGCAGTATATCGGCAACACGGACAAATTGTCCTGTCCCAATATTTCACAATTCGACTTATTGTTGACTTGCCAGCATTTGAGTAATTGCATACGACATATCCACCCAAGAATCACGCAATAAGCATGCACGCTGTAATATGGCATAAATTTGTTTGTAATTTCCGCACAGGCCAGAATGCAAAACCTGACAGGTTCGGTACTCATGAATCGGATGTGTTCATATGACAAATTATGGGAATACATACGGCATGACACATCCATATCACATGAAGCTGTCGCAACACTTACTACAACTCGTTGCCTGTTATATTCTGTTGTTACATATGCTACATATATCTACTGAGGCAAGCCAGGTCTGAACAAACTAGTTCCTTGTCAATAGGGTTTCAATATGAGGAGTGCATGTAATGTATTGGTTCGCCCTGTCCAGGAAGTGAAGAGAAACATTATAGCCCCTGCAATGTGCCAGTTTCTTCTGTCCGTAAGAAGGGCTTTCCGATGTATCAGCTTCATATCAAGAGGGCTTCAGTAGGATGAGTGGGCGTGACAGGTCAAAGGCTTGTAATGTGTTCGTTTGTTCTGTCTGGGGGCTTTCGAATGTATAAGTTCCTCGCCAAAAGAGTTTCGATAGGCGGGAGTGGAGTGACACATTAGAGAGTCTATATTGTGTCAGTTTGTTCTGCCCAGGGGCCTTCCAATATACAGGGTCGCTTCAGTGTATAAGTTCCTTGTCAATAGGTTTCCATGGGGAATGGAGTAACACATTAGAGGGTCTGTAATGTGTCAGGTCGCTGTGTCCAGGAGCCTTCCAAATGTCAATATACTTTCAATAGAAGGGATGAAGTGACACATTAGAGGGCTTGTAATGTGTTAATTCGTTATGCCCAAGTCAATAGAGTTTGAACAGGGGAAGTGGAGTAACACTTTACAGGGCATGTAATGTGCCAATCTGTTATGTCCTGGACTCTCCAGTGTATAAGTTCCTTGTCAGTAGAGGGTCAAACGGAGTGGGTGGAGTGACACATCAGGGTGCCTGTAATATGTCAATTTGATATGCCCAGGTACAGGGGCCTGACAGTGTATAAGTTCCTTGTTAGTAGGGTTTCAGTAGGAGAAATGGAGTGACACATTAGAGGGCATGTAATATGTCAATTTGCCCAGTCCAGGACCCAGGAAGTGAAGATACACATTATAGTGGGTTTAATGTGCCAGTTTGTTATGTCCATAAAAAGTGCTTTCCGATGTATCAATTTCTTATCAGTAGGTTTTCAATAGGATAGGTGGAGCGACACATTATAGGGCATGTAGTGTGTCAGTTTATTATGTCCAGGGGTTTTCTAGTGGAAAAATTCCATTGCAATAGAGGTTCCATAGGAAGGACTGGAGTGACACATTAGAGGGCCTGTGATGCGTCAATTTATACTACCCAGAGACCTTCCAATCTACAGATGCCCTACAGTGTATAAGTTCCTTGCCTTTAGGGTTTCAATAGGAATAATGACACATTAGAAGGCCTGTAATGTGTCAGTTTGTTTTCCCATGTGCCTTCCAATGTATCTCTATACATATCAGATCTGATGTGATCACAGCATTAGCCAAGAAGGATATCACGTAGTTAATAGTCTTCACGATCTTAACAAAGGCGCAATTATCCGTATCGAAGGTATACATTCCCATGAAAAAATCCCTATAGATCCCTTCACAGATCCCTTGTATGGAGCCCTCATAGACAGCCTTTATAGATTCGTATAGAAACTTTATAGATCCCCTATATAGAGAACTTATAGAAACCCCGTATAGATCAACAAATGGAGTTCTTTGTAGAAAACTTTACAAGATCCCTTACATGGAGCTTTCATAGACAACTGCTATATATTCCTTACCCTTTGTAGAAACCACATGGAGGCCCTGTATAGATCCCTCGTATGGAGCCCTTCTGGAAAACCCTTACAGGTTGCTTATAGAAATCTTATAGATCCTCTATGTAGAGACCTTATAGAAACCCATTATATAAAAAACTATAGATCCCTTGCAGAGAGACTTTCTAGAAACCCATTATGGATCCCTCATATGGGGCCTTTATAGTAAGTCCGGTTACAAAGCATGTAGATGCGATGTGGTAAGCTATTCTTGATATAGTAGTTAAGATAAATCGATTGTATTATGGTTCGTACAATACCTATGAAATTACTTTTAAGAATAGAGGGAGCGGTATTAAAACCAATGAAACCGGCAACGAAGATGATGACGATGATGAAGATGATGAAGATGGTGGAGATGATGAAGATGATGGAGATGATGAAGATGATGAAGATGATGCAGATGATGAAGATGATGAAGATGATGGAGATGATGAAGATGATGGAGAGGGGGTGGGGTGTCCACAGCCCTGTTGGACCCTAATGGGTTCGTGGTGGGGGTGGGGGTAGTGGGTGGGGTGGGGGAGGGATAGGGGGTTTGTGCTGGCCCCTGTCCTGTCCCCTAATCCAGCCCTCCCCCCGCCCCCACCACCGCCCCCCACCCCAAAACCCACCACCCCACCAACACAGCCCCCACCCCCCCCTCCCCACCACCCCAACCGCCCCACCCGACTTCCCCCCACCCTCACCACGTGGCAAGGAACGGGGGCAGGGGCAGGGGTGGCAAGGGGATTAGGCTTCGGAATACCAGGGTGTCCCCGTGGCGCGGTCCAGCAATATGCGAGTGCTGGCGGGGTCCAGGGCGAGGAGTCCTGGCCCCCAGGATCACGGTGGTGAATATTTGCGAATTTTTCTGAGTTTAGGGGCAGGGGTGGGGTGGGTGGGTGGTAGTAGGGGGGGGTGGGGGGGTGATCAATGGGCCCCATCCAGAGAATTTCAGGATTTCAATTATTTAAATATTTGAAATAATTGAAATAATTGAAATGGGGACGGTTTCAATTATTTCCATTATTTGGGCCCTTTGGCGGATTTAAATAATTGAAACAATTGAAATCGGTCGGATTTCAATTATTTCAATTATTTCAATAATTCAAATCGGTGGGATTCGTGGCTTGGCCCAGAACAACCATCGATTTCAATTATTTCAATTATTTAAATCCGCCGGGCTCTTTTGCGGATTTAAATAATTGAAATAATTGAAATCCGAAGGCTCCATGGTCCCAAGCCACCAAATCCAGGGATTTGAATTATTTACATAATTTAAATAATTGAAATACTTGAAATAATTGAAATGGGGACGGTTTCAATTATTTCAATTATTTCAATTATTTGGGCCCTTTGGCGGATTTAAATAATTGGAATAATTGAAATCGGTCGGATTTCAATTATTTGAATTATTTCAATTATTTCAATTATTTCAATAATTCAAATCGGTGGGATTCGTGGCTTGGCCCAGAACAACCATCGATTTCAATTATTTCAATTATTTAAATCCGCCGGGCTCTTTTGCGGATTTAAATAATTGAAATAATTGAAATCCGAAGGCTCCATGGTCCCAAGCCACCAAATCCAGGGATTTGAATTATTTAAATCATTGAAATAATTGAAATAATTGAAATAATTGAAATGGGGACGGTTTCAATTATTTCAATTATTTGGGCCCTTTGGCGGATTTAAATAATTGAAATAATTGCAATCGGTCGGATTTCAATTATTTCAATTATTTCCATTATTTCAATTATTTCAATAATTCAATTGGTGGGATTCGTGGCTTGGCCCAGAACAACCATCGATTTCAGTTATTTCAATTATTTAAAACCGCCGGGCTCTTTTGCGGATTTAAATAATTGAAATAATTGAAATCCGAAGGCTCCATGGACCCATGCCACCAAATCCAGGGATTTGAATTATTTAAATAATTGAAATAATTGAAATGGGGACGGTTTCAATTATTTCAATTATTTCAATTATTCGGGCCCTTTGGCGGATTTTAATGATTGAAGTAATTGAAATCGGTCGGATTTCAATTATTTCAATTATTTCAATTATTTCAATAATTCAAATCGGTGGGATTCGTGGCTTGGCCCAGAACAACCCTCGATTTCAATTATTTCAATTATTTAAATCCGCCGGGCTCTTTTGCGGATTTAAATAATTGAAATAATTGAAATCCGAAGGCTCCATGGTCCCAAGCCACCAAATCCAGGGATTTGATTTATTTGAATAATTGAAATAATTGAAATGGGGATGGTTTCAATTATTTCAATTATTTCAATTATTTGGGCCCTTTGGCGGATTTAAATAATTGGAATAATTGAAACCGGTCGGATTTCAATTATTTGAATTATTTCAATTGTTTCAATTATTTCAATTATTTCAATAATTCAAATCGGTGGGATTCGTGGCTTGGCCCAGAACAACCATCGATTTCAATTATTTCAATTATTTAAATCCGCCGGGCTCTTTTGCGGATTTAAATAATTGAAATAATTGAAATCCGAAGGCTCCATGGTCCCAAGCCACCAAATCCAGGGATTTGATTTATTTGAATAATTGAAATAATTGAAATGGGGATGGTTTCAATTATTTCAATTATTTCAATTATTTGGGCCCTTTGGCGGATTTAAATAATTGGAATAATTGAAACCGGTCGGATTTCAATTATTTGAATTATTTCAATTGTTTCAATTATTTCAATTATTTCAATAATTCAAATCGGTGGGATTCGTGGCTTGGCCCAGAACAACCATCGATTTCAATTATTTCAATTATTTAAATTCGCCGGGCTCTTTTGCGGATTTAAATAATTGAAATAATTGAAATCCGAAGGCTCCATGGTCCCAAGCCACCAAATCCAGGGATTTGAATTATTTAAATAATTGAAATAATTGAAACAATTGAAATAATTGAAATGGGGATGGTTTCAATTATTTCAATTATTTCAATTATTTGGGCCCTTTGGCGGATTTAAATAATTGAAACAATTGAAATCGGTCGGATTTCAATTATTTCAATTATTTCAATTATTTCAATTATTTCCATTATTTCAATTATTTCAATAATTCAAATCGGTGGGATTCGTGGCTTGGCCCAGAACAACCATCGATTTCAATTATTTCAATTATTTAAATCCGCCGGGCTCTTTTGCGGATTTAAATAATTGAAATAATTGAAATCCGAAGGCTCCATGGTCCCAAGCCACCAAATCCAGGGATTTGAATTATTTAAATAATTGAAATAATTGAAATGGGGACGGTTTCAATTATTTCAATTATTTGGGCCCTTTGGCGGATTTAAATAATTGCAATAATTGAAATCGGTCGGATTTCAATTATTTCAATTATTTCAATTATTTCAATAATTCGAATCGGTGGGATTCGTGGCTTGGCCCAGAACAACCATCGATTTCAATTATTTCAATTATTTAAATCCGCCGGGCTCTTTTGCGGATTTAAATAATTGAAATAATTGAAATCAATTCTGCTGTTTTAAATTATTTCAATTATTTCAATTATTTAAAACAATATTAGTCATACAGAAAAGAATAGAGCGTAAAATAGACCCTAGAGGCGCCTCTCTCATACATATACATATATATATATATATACACATATACACAGTGTGTCAACGCAACGGCTGTATATCCAGTTGCTCATACGTTACATTCATACATTCCTACCATCACTTTTGCCATCACTGGAGGCGTTGCGAGCCAGTGCCAGTGCAGCCAGCTTGGCCCAGGCATCTATGAGCCTGAATGTTTGCACGTACAGGATTCACACAGTCTGAGTCATCGTAGTGGTGGCAGCAGTCGATTTCATTTATTGCCGTGGCACAGCTTCGCCATAGAGAACTGGTGGAAGCTAGAGTGTATGCTATTTTTCTCAACGGCTTGCAGATTGGACTTCTTCGGCATAGGGCCAGGGGCGACTAAAGGTGCAGTGGGGCTGTTGTGAATTGTACATCTAAGTGCATGCTGGCCCATCCCCATTGCCCCTTATGCAAGATCACGTCATCCCGAACTCTTAGTGCTAGACCTCCAAATCTAGCTTCGAGTCAACTTAACACGGTTCGAACTGATAACCTACATGGCATTTTCGTGATTGCTTGCAGGGCAGGAGAAAAGTTGGCTACAAGCGGAGGGAGAAGAGGGAGCTTTGTATGATAATCTATGGAAGCAGCGAATATTCAGCAAATCCGTCTCGAAAGGCAATTTGTGCGGTTTGATGTTGTCAAATTTGTTATCGTCATCCCCATTGTTCTAAGATTCTAAGACGTTGGGCGTCGCATTTATGACTTCAGGAGTATGGGAGTTTCAATGAAGATTAAGATGCTGTGTTGCAAGAATACCCCGGTCGAGAACAAGCACAAGTTGATGAAATGTGACTTTACAAAGCACAAGAAAGTCGTTTATTCTCTTATACAGCCATGTATACCACAACCAAAAACCCTTATGAACTCTTTTCACAAGACTATCCCGACTCTTTCCTTTCTCTGAATGTCAGGTATCGGAAGGAGCGTTCCAGGTCCAAGATCTTGGGCCCAAGGGCTCCTCGTCAGCGATTGCAGAGAGGCGGCATAATTAGTCAGTAGTGGTAGTGGCATGTAGTGAATGTAGTGGTAGTGACCCTTCTCGCAGTAGGAGCGTGAGAATTGAGCCCCAAAGCTTAACTTCTGCAGTGTTGCCGCTGTGATCAGCCCGGAATCTGGTCGTGTGCCCATACCGTACGGAGCCCTTTGAAAGGCGCTGTCAGTTCTTGGGACAGCACCGAGGTATGGGCGTGGTTGCCGCACGCGACATCGAAACTTGCCAGCATTCGCAAGCGTTGGATGCACAGTTTGCGCATGTTCACTGTGCAGCAGCGCTGTAAGCGGGTGCTGCTGCAGACACTCTGCTGGGCGTTTGTCCTCCGCTGTCCCTATGTATGCAGCACCCAAGTTTCGGGAAGTATGTCGCGTCTCATCAGCCATCGCCTCGAGAACGTGATCCTTGTCGCATTAAACGAGGTTCAATAACGTTCAATACAAACAGAATCAATTGCCCCTGACAAAAAAGGAGGATTCCTGACTCCGTCGTTGTGGGGTCCTTATGTGGTCCCCTCAACCCCAAGCCCTAGACTCTATTGAGCCGTTCGGGATCGCGCTCGCCAGAGACAGTGCCGCATTGAACTCAGGAGAAAGGCGAGCTCCTTCTGAAAGAGCAGCCGCTGCTAGTGGTGCCAGTGGTAAGGCAAGATTTCTCAGACGAGTCCGTGTTCAGTGAAATGACCTGCCCAGTAAGGCTATCTCAATTAGTTGCGAGCGACCGCATGTAAGAGCCCCTCACAACCCGACAGGTTCAATGCATGGAAGTTCAACTCCTCTCGACATGGGTCAAGAGTTCAGGTCTATGTTTCCGGCCGACTGTTTATGCCAGGCCACCCTCAGTAGCGATTTTTCGGAAACCTCTTGCAACATCACGGCTCGGGAAACAAGTTGAAGAAGGCCATCAGCCGGGGTCGAGATGGGTTTGGTAAAAGGTTTGGGGGGGTCTGGAGCTTGACTGATGGGATTCAGGGCTTTGTGCGTTACGGAAGCAAGCACAACATATTATGCTGTACTTAACTATGTTATACAAGTTTCTACTCTATCAGAAAACAATATACAATTACGTCCCATATGATACTGTTGTATGGTAGCATATGATACCACAGCATAGTAGTACGTGCTGAGGCCCCCTTGTTAAGGCTGTGGCCAGTCCTCAAACTCCGTCGCCTTCCCTCGATGCTGGCATTCGTATGCGTCCATTTGTTGTTAGGGCAGAAGGATCAGCTTCTGAAATTTTCAGGATTTGAGGATTTAGGGTTTTGGGTCTCGAATAAGAAGTTCGAGATTCCAGGCGGGCTTTTAAGATCCATTCTTGTTCTTTGCGGTTTGAGGGTTTGGGGCGAGGGGGTCAACGTTGGTGATTCTTGGACTTAGGCTTTTGGGCTTGTTGGTATTGGGCGAAAGGATGATTATAAATCCTACCTTAACCCCCAAACAGCCGACCTTTTTTTGGACTTATATCAGGAAATCATAAGGAATCCCCAAAAGATAGGATATTCAGCGTTAGGGTAAGTCCTATTTTCTCCACTCCTGCGATGATAAACCCCAGACCCTAAGCCCTAAGTCCTAGCCTTGTCCGAGTGTAAGCATCAAAAAAACCTTAAAGTTCTAAACCTTGAAGTCCTAAACCCCTAAGTCCTAAACTCCCCACTCCTGCGGGCTGTGCTTCAGGGACACCCGGCAGCTGGATGCCTGGGAGCAGCGGATCCTGGCAGACCTCGCTGACCCGTGGCTGAAAGCGCGTGCTGTTGGGCTTATGGCGCTTGGGAGTTTGGGGTGAGGGTCTATCCTGTTATGTCGGTTGAGGTTTTTGGGGTGAGGGTCTACTGCAGTATTTTGGTGTACTTCTGCGTCGTCTTTCATTTATGGGTTTGGGGTTCGAGGCTTGCAGGGTTCAGGACATCTTTGACGCGATGTGGGATGGTCAGGTTGTTTCAGTGTAGTGTGCTTCCTTGCTGCTAGACTTGAGGTTCCGTGTAGGCAATAGTTCTACATGGATGCCGGGCATGCTCGAAGGTTTTTCCTGGTTCTTGGCACCGCGAGCCGAACACAACGTATGAGCCTGTTACATGAGATGGGAGTTTCCGAAAATAAGGGACCCTAATATAGTACCTAAATAGTAGGATCCTTATTATAAGGACCCCAAAATAAGGTACCCCTACTTTTCGGAAACTCCCAGATATCCGGGTAGAGGTGGCTTTTTAGCATTCGCCCCGGGCGCCAGACTTCTGAGCCTCAATCATGCGGAGACCCCAGGGCCCAAGATCCCAAAGTGCAGCTGGTGGACAACATCCAAGGTGTCTCCGAATACCCAGGGCACTTAGACTTGTTCTTCAGTTCTACATCTCCGAATCACTTAGACTTAGACCACCTGAAACGACACGTGACGGGAAGGTTACAAGTTATGCCTGACAGACTGCATCGAGTGTGATGAATCAGGACTGCCCACAGCAACAACAAGACTCCTTCTGGGAGTTGGCTGCTCCCCGGCGAGTTCAGTCAAGGCCTTGGGCGTTGCTTTAGAATCAATACTCTCATGGGGCTTTGCTTCAGAATCAAAACCTTCATCTGGTAGAGTGGGTGTCGGGCATCGTGTTATTCAATGGTTCCTTATTCAACCAAGGACTGAATAATGAACTCCGTTGTTCTATTTGGGTCCGAGAGGGTTGTAGAATATAGAACTGCAGAGGGATCCGAATCTGGAAGTGGTGCCCGAGAGCCTAGAGTTGTGTGGGAGCCTTTCTTTCAGGACCCACTAATATAGGGGCCTTAACGATTAGAATCGAGTTTTGGGGCCCATTCTACTGTAGTTACAATCAGGAGCCACCCAAAACAATATAGGTAATTGTGTAACCATTACGGCCCCTATACTAGAATCTCCAATTCTACTATAATTATAAAAGGACCCCAGAAAAAGCAGAGGTAATTATTAAGGCACTTTTCTTTAGAATCTCCAATTCTCTTTGGGTGTCCCGGGTCTCAGGACTGCCACACGGAGGTCGGCCAGAAGACGGCGACAGGGTCCTTCGGTTAACCGGTAGGCTGGGGTTTCATGGGGAGTCATAAGTGGGGTTATGGGGTCCTTTAAGGGTTCCTTTAAGGGATCTAAAGGATTTAGGGTTTAGGGGTAGTTATAAGTGGGGTGCAAAGTAGGGGAACTAGAGTTATAACCCATGTTAGGGGGACTTATAACCCCACATAAGCCTCCAAGTAGGCTGGGGTTTCTGTCCAGTCGGGATAACTTCCTGTTGGGTTTTCATCAGGAAGAACCTGATCTTTCTCGTTTGAAGACGGGGGTCCTCAGCCTCAGCAGGATCCTGATGTTCAGGGTCCGCCTGTTCTCGGAAGGTCACATCTGGGGAGATCTTCGTTTCCGGTCTCCTTACTGCCTGCGCCTCCCCTCGGTTGAGGCTTCAGGTGTTCCCCTGCCTCTGTTGCTCCAGCCTTTTGATTTTGTCTGTGTTTCTTTTCTGTTTGTGCGTGTTTTTTTTTTTTTTTTTCCTTTCTCTCTCTCTATGCAGTGCTGCGCTAATTTTGCTAGTTGCAAAGACGGTCAGGAAACTGTCAGGACGACCATTCTCCAATCAGCAGTTCTTACGCTTCGAATGCCTGGGAGGGAGAGAGTCAGAGAGAGAGAGACTGCCGTCCTGGGCCAATCAAGGATTGTGCGAACGAACGGCTTGCCCATCGAGAGGGCAGATGGTGCTGACGTCGTGGGCTTGTATTCGACGATGTCGCGGTTCAACCACAGTTGCATACACAATGTGCCTGGGCTGCAACACTCTTGAAGCTGCATTCCGTTGCGGAAGTCGAGACACAGAAATTGAGACCTCATGAAGATGGAGGGCGTGAGGCTGGATGGAGGTCAAGGTTGTCGTGGAAACTTGGCAACATCTCCCAGGTCAACAACAGCTACCAGGAAGACGCTGGTGGCGAAGTGCTCCATGCGCTGCGATTCTTGCTGGCATGGTTAAGCCGCCTTCCGTGTCATCGAGTCTCCTGCCCCGACAAGATTCAACTGGAAGTGTTGCACTTGTCCGACAACCAGACATCCCCGGGTTTAGACAGAAGCATTAGGTGGTGACGGATTTCCTTCAAAGCCTTCAAGCAAAACCCGAGAGACTCTGGCGACATGAAGAACTTTCCGATCGGCGCTTGGAGGAGTGCGAGGCCGTCCACAAGCACAAAGCAACAGCAACGGAACGAGTTAGCATGGCCGATTAGAATGTGCGAGTCCCAGTGATGTAACGCAGCTGTCACCATCCCTTAGATCAGTCCGTAGCCTTCCACCTGCTTGAAAGTTAGTTGCAGTGCTCCCATGAGCCTATATGGTCTAGCCTGAAGCAACCCTACATTCCAAATCCCCGATCCTTGTTCTTTGTACTAAGCCTCCCTAAAGCCTCGAAGCTTCGCGGCACATGCGCGTGACGAGGGCTACCATTTCAGGTCCCCCCCGACTAGTACGTAAGGGTTATTGTAAGGCTTGTCTTAAGCAAAAAGGGTAAGGAAAGGGTTAATTAGATGTGTAGTGAAAGGATTGCTATACGGGCGCATTTTGGATTACTACGAAGGTTGCTGTGAGGGTTTCTAACAGCTTTACTGATTCGGCCATCGTTTTGCGGGATCTCTTGCAGAGTAATGCGGAATTGTCAGAGAAAGCCGCGATCCAGGAAATATTCGCAAAGGCGAGGAGCTGTGCATCACCTACATCGCCCTCTGGCACATACAGAGCTGCGAAAAGTTTTCCGCAGGGTTGCTGTAAGGGTTACCTTTCGGGGTTGCAATATGGGTGGTTAGCAAAATTATGGTCCCTCTTTGGTCCTTGTTTTAATACGGCACCTAATATTTAGGGTACCCAAAAGGGGGCCCTAATTTTGACAACTGCCCAGAAAGCTTTGACAAACCTGCGGCAGATTGGCCGAAAATTGGAGACCTCAAGTCCTGCGCAATCCTTAAAGCAAGCATAACTCAAGCTATGGTGCTCCAAGCAAGATCCTAACAACGTACAACGCCCAAAAGACTCGAAAGTGTGCTAGATAGGGCCCCAAACTAGGGGATCTACTTTCCCTTATAGATCCCTAAACCCTAAAGCCTAAAGGATCCCTTAAAGGAGCCCTTAAAGGAAGCCTAAACAAGCTCCAAAAGGCGCCTCCAAGTTCACGAAGCCTTCAAAGTCCAATGTGGGGGCTTCTGAAAACTTAGGCTTACAGCTTTTAGGGGCCTTTGCAAGAAGGGTCTTACTTAGGGTCGCAACTATGGCCCATTATTGGCTGAGCTGTTAAACTGTTTTAACGTTCCACATCGTCGGGGTCTGGATAATGGCGAAGTTCACCCCAAACGAAAGTAGTACAATGTACCCGGAAAACTTATTCCAACCATCACGGCCACTGTATTATTTGCTATCTTTTGGTTTACCTGCATGTGTTGGTATAGTGTATCCACGTATCTATCTATCATCTATCAATCCATCTGTTTACCTTTGCTTACACAAATGTTAAACAGATGGGTATTTCGTAAGATGTCGGGGCATGTTCAGCCTTGAGCCTTGCCCTCAATTCCACAGGCTTCTGTTAGCCCGAAACGCCCGAAGCCTCGAAGCCTCGAAAGCCAAAAAGCCCTGCGAGGCCTTGCATGGTTTCCTGTTGGCTCTCTTTGGCCTTTGGTGCATTGAGGTTTGGGATGTTGCAGGGTTTGTGTGCTGAGGGTTTTATGATCGTATTGTTTCACTAGGGCCATCCCTAAACGTTAAGGTTGAAAAACGTCCCAAGCCATGCATGCGATCTGACTTTGAGTTTGAGGATTTGTTTCTGACCCGGCAAGATCGCCAAAGCACGCTGCAGAGGCCGCCTTATGAGGGCAAGCCAGTATGTTCATATGGGAGTTTCCGAAAATTGGGATACCTTATTTTGGGGTCCTTATAAGAAGGATCCTACTATTTACGGCACTATATTAGGGTCCCCTATTGGCGGGTTGCTATTTGGGATTTGCGGTGTTGGGTTCGGGAGAGAGATGGGTTCCTTGTCAGAAAAATAGAATATACCTTTAAACCCTTTCCTCATTCTTAGAAGCTTGATGGTTCGTAGTTAAGGTTGCGACCCACAATTGTCTCGGGTGTGGGGTAAAGGTTTCTTTCTAAGCTATAGACGTTACGGCCTGGGGTGCAAAGTAGATCTGTGTATGGCCCCGAGACGAGGCGATGAATTGGGTTTAAGGAGTCTTGGGCTGTATCGCAAGTTCAAGTTATGTTGTTCTGAATTTACTATAAGAACAGTTCCGGAAAGCTCAACCTAAATTGTGGCGAGATTGAAGATCATGTAGTTCCTTGATTTTGTAAGCCCGTTCTCCGAGACGGAGTTACATGAGGATCATATTTGTCGAGCAGCGGTGAAATGATGAGGTTTCTACATTACCTTGGCAAGGCTTTCGAAAGGTACTTGGCAGATAGCTTTGCGTTTTCTCCATGCACTTCGGCACGGCCGACATCCATTGGAACTAATGTTTGGGTTGATGGTTATTATGTCGAGGCCACACACGGAACATGGCGGCCACTCGCAAAAGGGTTTAGGTTCGAGGAGTCTTCATTCGGAAAGCCCTGGCGAACGTCGACATCATGCACTCACAGTTTGATGTCTTCCTCGCGACACGAGGTTTGAGACCCCTAAACCCGAAACCCGAAACCCTAACTCCAGGTTCTGATGACGTCACCCGGAGATCGCAGCACCCGCCCTTCTGATCGTTGTTCGCGCCAGTTTCCTCAATGAAAGCGTTGATACAGACACCTCAAAGCAGGCCTTTAAGAAGGGCGCCCACGCTTTCGAGAACAACGGTCACCGGCAGCACCCAAGGGTTTGGGTTTCGGGGCGATATAGATTCCATAGTAGATTTATCGTATAATGTTAAGGCATCAAAACTCTACAGTATCGATTACTACTAAAAATGATATGTTCTGCATTTCGTTGGATTTATGGTCCAGTGGTCCTCGGCGCAGGGTTTTCAACTTCCGCTGCACTTGCCCGGCCTGCTCCCTTACCGGCGAGGTACGGGGTCGGGAGGGGGCGTTGTGGTTTGGCCCGTTTTGGGGGTTCAGGCTGATCTTAACCGCCAAACACCAACAGCAGAAATCAAAACCCAGGCAGGCCAGGCGGTCCATCAGTTTTGCTGCTTATGGCATGGGGTTCTATAAGATTCTATAAGGTTTTTTTTTGTTGATGGTTGTTTATTGTGAAGGTTCTGTGTGGGACATAGAGGGGGTTTGCAAGGGTTCAGTAAGGGTTCCGTGAGGGTTGTTTTGCAGGGCCCAAAAATGGCTTTAGACGAGGGTCTCTGAGGGTTTAGGAGGGTTCTGTAAGAGTGTTTACAAGGCGTCCATGAACAAGGTCGTTTCCTGAAGGTTCCTTTTAACGTATGCGTACATTATTGTTGGGTAATGCGCCAGTGTCTTCATCAATAGCTGAAGCTGAAATCTTATTGGGTCCTCCGGGAGTACCCTTCTACTTTTCTTTTGAAGGGTGGGGCCCTTCTCACCGCCGGCTGATCCATAGGAGCAGCTACTCAAAGCTATCCTGATGATTGCAGCTGGCTTCTGGACGACCTAGGTGCTTCTTGCCCTTAAAACTCCAAGCCGGAGCTATAACGTAGGGCCTTTCTGCGCCCTTCTCAACATCTGTAGAACCCGAAAATTCCATCCCTAAATCCGGCCGTGAAGTAGAACCCTAAAGCTCACATCCTTCGGAGCCGTGCCTGCCCAGTGCGAGTGTGCGAGTCGAGACCCTGACCCTAAACCCCAAAGCCCGAGGGAAAAAATCCCAAAGCCCTAGAAAGCCCTAAACCCTAAGCCCCACAGCCCCAAAGCCCTAAACCCCAAAGCCCCAAAGCGCTAGTAGTAGTAGTAGTAGTAGTAGTAGTAGTGGTGGTGGTGGTAGTAGTAGTAGTAGTAGTAGTAGTAGCAGTGGTAGTAGTAGTAGTAGTAGTAGTAGCAGTGGTAGTAGTAGTAGTAGTAGTGGTGGTGGTGGTGGTGGTAGTAGTAGTAGTAGTTATAATTGTACCCCATTCCTCCATTCCCTACCAGAAAGCCCTCAACCCTAAAGTGCTAGAAAGCCCTGGAGGGTTTCAATTGCCCAGGCCCTTCTGAACTCCAACCGCAGCCGCGACCGGTCCCTGGGCTTAGCTCGGGGCCTCCCCCAAAGTGGGCCTTATTCTGGTTTAGTAATTTAGAATAGGGTTTTGGGGCCCATTATAGTATAAATATGAGTGGGCCTTATTCTGCTTCTGGTAGAGCAGAGCATGGTGCTGTAGACCAGAGTACACGATAGAATGGTACAGCATAGTAGAGTAGAGTACCAAATGGTATAGTCAGTATAGTGGAATATAGTATGGTAGGGTATAGTATAGTATAGCGCAATACAGTGCAGGATGGTATCGTATGGTATGGTATGGTAGAGTGTTCGCATATAGTGACGACGTCATCGCAGTTTAGTGGTTTTAAGTATAGTTCCGGCAAGCAGCAGGCAGTGCAGGCCTAGAAGTAACACAACCCTTCTCTTCACGGGCCGGTTTGTATCTAGCTTTTCATTTAGATCAGGCTGCACCCAAAACCCAAATCCACAGCTGGGGATGCATGGCTTCCCGCAAGGGTAGACGAAGGCAAGACATTAGGGTACACGCAAGACTTTAGAAGTCGGTGTCCCTTGTGGCTTGCATGGTCTAGATGCAAGCAGTCCCTTCAGAGTTTTGGAGCCCTCCTCGACCAGACTACATAGGCCTCACCAACTACCAAGGTGACACACCAAACCATCATGAGCCCCGGCCAGCCGCCGAGAACATAGCACAAGCGACCATCCGAATGCAGCAGCCACATACACCCTTTTGTAAGGGTGTTCCTGTTTTGGATGTGGGTGCAATTACATGTTGCGTGAAGCCTTAACTGCCGTATGCGAAGATGAGACCTTGAGACCTCGTCTGGCACATCCGGGTTCTGAGAGCACGAAGTAAGGCTAAAACCTGAGGCCAAGGCCTAAGATTGCCTAAGACTCCTGGGTGCTTTGTAGGAATTCCTCCATTCTGTGCAAAGCAGCAGGGAGAAGACGCCCGCGTCCGAAAGCTTCGCCGCTTCGCCGAGGCTGCAGCAGCTTCGAGAGGCACTGCCCAGCGCTGCGCAGCAACTGGGTTCTTGTTAAGGAGTTGAGTTTGAGATACCATAATGGGGATCTAGAGTCTAGAGTAAATGATATGGTTTCCTTATGATGGTACCCTTAACACGAACCCAGGCAAGGACTCGGCGAGGCGGTGATTGCCAAGATCGTGGATGCCTGGCAAGAACGTGAAGGGTCTCTGGCGTAGGGTTTAGGTTCCAGTTTTCGGGGCGATGGGGTCCGAGGCTTTCAGGGTTTAGGGTTAAGGGCGCCAGAGTGGCTCCTTGGTGACCGTTGTTTTATATGCTCGCTTGCTTGAAATCTTGCAGTGCGGTGCTTCCAGCAACTCGAAGTCGGCAGAGTCTGGGTTCAATAAGGAAGAAAGGTGTTACTCATGTTCCTTTCCCGCTACGCCTCTCTTCGTACCTTACATCATAACCGCATAGTTGCCAGCCGTGCGAGAGGGACAAAATGACCGCAAGACATAGGGGAGCTTCGGAAAATAGGGGACCCTAATATAGTACCCTTGATACTAGGATCCTTATTATTAAATAAGGTACCCCTAATTTCGGAAACTCCCATAGAGCCCATAGAGCCCCAAGCTCTGAAGCTGAATCTCAAGACTGTCTAGGACTCCCTGGTGCTTAAAAAAGGGCTCATGGGGGCATGGAGTATGGGGACTATGATTGAGGAGTATATAGGGACTATTCTTGGGGAATATTTCGGGACTACTACAGGGATCCATTCCCCCATTCCCCACTTATAAGCACCAGGGAGAAAACTCCAGTCCTTCTAGGCGCAGCTCCACGGAGCACGTACTGGGCCCGGGCGTGTTTCGGAATGTGCCCCCTATTGCAAAGATCATGGAACAAATCGTTTGATTCTTCAAAGCCCCGCAAGAAAGCCTTTGTACGGATTTGTTCACCGTAACTTTACCAGTCTTTGATCTCGCTTCTGCTGACAATCACGACAAGATCCACCGCACATCTCAGATGTCCCAATCTTTCCGACCTAGCAACCTGCTAGTCTTGAACGTCAGGACCGAAACGCTTCAGGGTTTAGAGTAAAGCCAAACCCTTGAAACAGTAGACCCTTGTGCCCTAAACCTGCGCACTGAACCCTAAGCTTTAAGTCTCCGACTCGGAGGAACTGATCGACCAGGAGCTTGTGCAGCAGATACTGAACCTGTGTTGGGGGGTCGGACACCATCCAGGTTTAGGGTTTGCTTGAAGGTTCATGGGTAGCTACAAGTGGGGTTATAAGTCCCCCAGGGTAATAAATATGGTTACCTTACTTATGACCCCACGTATAAGTCCCCACGAACCTCCAAGTAGGGTTGCTGTCCAGATGGGCTCCGCTTAAGGGTAGCCTCTCTCATGCGGGTTCTGTATGTGTTTCAGCCCGCGCTTAGAAGATTGTTCTTCCAGGAGGGACTGATTTGAATGCAAGCCCTGGATGCCTGCAGCATGGGGGGAGGGGGACTTTCTGCGCTGAACTTATCCTCGGAGCACTAAGGCCGCTGGGTAGGAGGCAGAATCCGATCCTACGATGCATACGTTCCTCAAAGCTGCATGTGCGCTACTACGAGGGTCTTGCTCTTTTTCATTATTTACTATTGGGGTTGCTTTCAAGGGTCACTATAAGGGTACTATGAGGGTTCCTGTTTAGGGTGCTATGTTAGGGTTTCCTTTGGGCTCGGCCCTTTGTCGCCTGCGAGGAGCTTGCGGGGAATGCTGCCGCCAAGACCTACACGCCCCTCGACATTCTCGACATTCGTTTCCTGCAGATCAATAATTGGTAATGATTATAATAGTAGTAAAACTAATTGCAATAGTCTGATACTAGTTATGATATGCTGCTGGCGGCACCGTGTTACTTAAGTCACCTTCCGGCCTTCGGCTCATGTGTGCGACAGCATGTCTTTCGAAGGCATCTGCAGGCGACTATGCTCGACACCTTTAGCTACACTGTGAACCACTAATCCTTCAGGTTCATATTGATTTCGTTAAACTGTACGATACTGTACTGTACTGTGCCCAAAAAGCCGCACCTTGGAACATAAGGTATCACATGGGTCTGCAATGCTTCGGGGACACCAACCGCTCTGCCGCCTTGAAGTGCGCCCAGCAGGCACGGAAAGACGCCCGCGTGCTTGTGTTTCTGTACGCGTGTACGTATGTATGTATATATCACTATCGCAATGTATACATACATCTGTATATATGTATGTATGTATATATATATATACATATGCATACATGGGTAAATGACGAATTCCATGTCCTGTGGCGGTTCGTAGGTCACCCTGACTGTTTCTCTGAAACTCACGTATGTGTTGCTTCCCATCTCGAGATCAAGATGCGTGGGGTCTGTCCCCAACATCATTGTCTGTGTCTCATGAGCTAAAGCGGCAGAACACCCTTTTCTTGTCAAGCGGTTGAACCGCCACTGTTCGTGCAGTGGCAAGTCGTGAAGTGCAGCTCGCTTTTCTTCAGTGTCGGCCTTTGGTTTGTACGTCGGTCCCAACAGCCACATACCAGGCCAACCATCAGACCTTAACGTAGATTATGCTGGGGTGCGGAGCAGCAAAGCTTCAGCAAAGTGTTGGTTTTCAGGCTTGGAAGGAAGCTGCTATCGCAGAAGGTTCGACCTCTTGGCTGAGCACGATGTCTCTGAGACTGCATGTTAGAAGGCCTGAAGCCCTGAGTCCCCTTCGATGTAGATTCGCCACCCTAAGCCACCCAAACCCAAACCTTTACAGTAAACCATGAACCCAACAAGTCTTTATGGCAAGACCCGAATACAGCTCCTCAGTAGTACATAGGATGGCGTAGATTGCCGCAAGCAACTTATCCTCTAAGTTTAAGAAGTCCTCACATGACCTTGTACAGTTTCTAACCCCTATGAAACCCTGCACGAAGGCTTTTAGGTCCTTATCATATTCTCCCGCAGCCCCTATGTAATCTTGATATACTTCGAGTATACCATACCCCGAAACTCCGTTCAAATCATTACGAACCCTAAACTCCAAACACCTGCCCTTCCCGAAGCCTTGACATCGCTCCCCTGTTCTATCGACCTACTTTCCATGTACTGTTGCCTTAGTCTTCATGTTAATGTGTATGCACATTCGCTGTAACGTCATCACTTTTGTCATGAGCTTGGGAATGGCAGGTGACGGTAGTAACGGTAGCAACGAGACCTCATGAAGCCGTGCCTGCCTTGAGCGAGTGTGCGAGTCGAAACTGCAAACCCAAAGCCCTTCCGAGTTGCGAGAGCGTAAAACCTTAAAACCCTAAACCTCTAAACTGTAAAACCCAAAACCCTAAACCCTATGTGGAGCCTTGCCTGCCTTGTGTGCGAGTGTAAGCGTCGAAACCCTGAAGCGGATTCCCTTTCCCCAACCCGCGGCACGAGCAGCACGAGGTTGGCTCAGCAGATCGCGCGCTTCAGCGCGGAAGACGGCGCTGCTTGAGGTAAAACAGTACCATAGGGGCCACAATAGTTTGGATAGGGGTTCCTTTAACGGGGATCTAGAAGGGTTACTATATGGAGAGTTTTAATATGTTTCAAAATACTCAAGACAGAGAGGTAAAGAAAAGGTAAGATAATTTTTGGGGTTGAGGGTTGGGGTTCAGGTTTTTTGGTTTGTGCTCTCTAACACGGGTTTCGCTGTTTTGTGTGCATGTGCATGCGAAGAGTATCGCGATTTGGGTGCAGGGTTTAGAGAAAATAGTTGCAAGGCTTGGGCAGAAGTAGGGTTTGATGGGGCTTGATGTGGTGGCTTTAGAGATGTTGAGAAGGGACGCCTGATATTTCGGGTCCTGACAACAAGGATAGGGTGGATACTACGATCGCTTTGTGTAATATCCAAACTTTGCTGTTGAGAAGGGGTTACTGGGGTACAGCGACGCAGGTGCTCGGTTGCTGTCGAAAGTCGCGCTCCGACAAGACTTAGAAGAGCCTGAAGCCCTAAACCCTTATAGACGCCCTACATGCCAAGAAGCAGTTTGCCCAGCTCCGTAGTACGTGCGGCTCAGTTGCACCTTCAAGCTCCCCCCAAAATCACGACCGCAAAAAGACTATGAGCCCCCTGAGCATTGAAGTGGGTCTACGAAGGTACCCCAGCATGAGACCTTCAAGCAGAGTCCCGACAGAAACAGGGAACAAGTCTCGAATCATTTCAAGGATGCCAGACGAACAACCTAGAAAGGTGATCAGATGTTGATTGATTTTATGGATGCCTTTCTAATTGAAGCGAAAGTTTCTCATCAAGTCTGTAGCTTTGGCTCCTTTCGGGGCCCACTTGCGAGCCATGGCCACAGAATGAAGAAGACAGGCGGCAGATGTTTTGGGGGCAGGGCGGGGCCGCGGGGCTAGGTGAACGAGGGCTTCGGCTTCGGTTCATCCTGGTTGACAGTCTATTGCGAGGAGTATGATACCGACACCCCCGCAGTTATGCTCTAAGGGAAGGACAGGGATCGTCGTCAGTTGAGTTCGAACGAGTTTCCTGTGGTGCGGTGGCAAAACATGCTGAAAGGAATTGTTCAGAATACTGCGTGTTCTCATGGTTCTAAGGGCACTTAAGGTACAGGACCCAGCATATTGTGCCTACTTTTCGTCTTTACAGGACTAGTATACATAGGGGGTGTCATAGGGGTTCTATGAGGAGTCTAAAAGGGCTTGATTATTTAGTATTTAGTAGCATTATGCCGTGGGATTCGCAGAGTATGTGTCGTGTAAACAAGTCTCTTTATTTGGGGCTTAGAGTCACTAAACCTTAAATAAACCTCAAACCCTGAAACCTCATCTTTGTTTAGGACGTCTATTCGTTCAGTTGGGAAAAGTGCCTGGCAGAAAAATCCATAAACTTAAAGACTAAGCCAGATATTGTTTGGTCAACTTCGCCGCGCAGAGCTACCTAGTCATTGGTTCCCGTAGATATGGCATGAGCATTACAACGGTTCTGCAGGGGTCGGAAGAACTAGTAATCTTACTCCTTTGGGCACCCGATAGATCAGCCTTATAGTTTATTGCAAAAGCTAGTTCTAGGTTCGACGATCCGTTCAGGTTGCAAGGAATCTAGTTGATGTTATCCTACCCCAGACCACCGGGAGGATCTAGAAAGTAGATCCCCTAATTTGGGGCCCTATGCCCTATACTGCTAAGGGTACTTTATAGGAACCCCCATTAAGGGATCTACCCTAAACCCTAAAACCCTATAGATCCCTTAAAGGGACCTTTAAAGGAACCCACATTAAGGGATCTACTTTTTGGATCCTCCAAACGGGGTTTGGGACTGCATGCCCCGACACATGGGAAGTCTTGCTAAATCCTGGCACCCGGGGCGGCCGCAGGCTCCTGAGAAGTCACAAATTGCCGACTGGGGTTTAGAGGTTTAGGGGTTTAGGGTTCAGGGGTTCAGGGTTAGTTGCAAAAAGGGGTTTAGGGTTTAGGGTTTCCGTGCAGCAGTGTGGGTGGGCAATTGGCTGGCAAGGGAGTTCTGATCATGATCTAGGCTGATGCCATGGAAAATGACCGCCTCCCCCCTCCCCTGGGTGTCCCGATTGCTGCGCCCCAGCAAATCCCGGAACAACTGTACCAAAATCCTGGCTGACACGTTTAGTTGTTTTGGGCTCAGGTTTGAACACTTACTCCGATCTTGCGGTGCGCTGCAGACTTTGCGCCATGGTGCCGAGGTGCGCTTCCCATGAGACCACGCACCACTTAAAAAGGACATGTGTTGTCGCAGTTTTGCAAGTCCAGACATGGAGGGAGAAGTGGCTTGGGCTTCAACGGCGAGGGGTCACTGCTTCTGTGCAGTGACGAGGTTGAGGGTCTCGTTGAACTTTTGTCAGATTTGTGCGAAACGATGGGTTGACAGTGTTGCTCGTAAGCTGTGTTTCCAGCTCGAAGCGAAAAACAGCAACGGAGCTTCTACGCTGGCAGGAGATGAGGCTGAAACAAGGAAGCCGGCCGATGAGCACCTTGCGCCTGGAGCTTTGCTTCCGCGTGCTCATTCGCAACTTGAGCCTGGCCGAATTACATCCGCATTCGCAGCCGGGCGCCGCCTGACGGGTGAGTTTCTATAAGCAGGAGCCGTTGACACAGGTACGTCACATCAGGGGAGAGGATCACGCCTGCGTCAGCCCGAGGGCGCAGAGTTCCTGCCGCAGCCTTAGGTCTTTGACGATGGGGACAGTGCCCTCATCGTCCGTACGCCTGCAGAATGCAGGAAGCGGAGGCTAGGTCAAAATCGCAAGTGCCACAACCGCTGCGAGATCGGCAGATTGGACTGCAGCCCTTGTCAGTTCTCAGCCGAAGGGACATGTAGAGAGGAGACTAGGCTCTCGATGGGAGGAATGGGCTAATTCCTGATTCCGGGACCTGTGGGCCCTCCTGGGAGCCAGTACCTACAGTCAGTACCGGCCTCAATGTAAGGGTCATTGAGCTGGGTTCCCTCATGTCGTGTTTGTCTCAGTCCCTGCTGCAGCTGTAGACCATCTCCCAGCCTCCGCCAGCTGCAGATGAGCGCTGCCTGAGACACTTGTTTTCTCAGCAAATGGGTGGAAGGTGCAAAGAGTCTGAGTCCTTTGCTCAAGAGCCTCAAGGTTGAGATGACCGTTTCTACCCATCTCCTCAGGTGCTTCGCATGTCGGCGCCTTCATCTCCATGTCCGAGACACTGCACCATGCGAGGCTCGGCTCGCAAAGGTGAGGGCCAGCAGGGCCATACCCTGGTAAATGACCTGCTGAGCAAGTGCGATGTGGCGGACGCCATCGGATTCGTCACTCCGCGTCGAATCTGTTGCGGAGTGACAGTGCTCTCGTCAGATGTTGCAGCCATCCCACAGTTGTCTAAAGAAAGCCAGGTGTACCCGAGTTCCTTTTTTTGTTTGTTTTCTTGGGGGTATCAATGTGCACTTTCGTGGCCATCGCCAACATGATCTTACCTGCTTCATGTGACACGACACGTCTTGAAAAGCCATTCTTGTATCCCGAAGTCCTGCCCCAAGCGCTGTAGGGCTCCTCACTACGACCGCCCCAATCCCTAGCAGGTATCAAGCTGTTACCCCCTGCCCTCTTAGTACTCTCTTCTGCATCAAGCCAGCTGCAAGGGCAGTTTGATGGTCGGCCGAGCTGCTATCCACGTGAACTGTGCGATCTCTATAGTAACACTGTACACGCGTCTCATGGAGGATCGAAGGACACTGTAGGTTTCTCTCCGTTGGCGAGACCTTTCTTGGCAAGACAAGTTCCGCATAGAGCTTGAGTTGGCTCCGTGAGTCCGGTCGTATGGGATCAAATGTGACAGCGCTGGCAGAAGACCCGGGGCGGAGGCACCTGCCAGAAGCTGGAATGCATTGGCGCGGAGATTATCTAATCTACCAATCTTCTGCGCCGTGTTCCATGTTCCTTTGTTTGGCCTCTCAGAGCAGCAGCCGTGGGACAGTCCAGAACGGTTTTTGCCTACATCCTTCTGGATCTCCCATTGAGGTCATGTCTTACCTGCAGGTCACAATGGCTGGCAGCGTCTACAGTACGCTTGAATGTCCCGATTGCATGCTTTTGGCGCCCAGCAACTCCATGTTTCATGCTGGGGGAACGAGCTTCACATGCATGCTCCAGCGAAGAACACGACTGCAAGGACTTACCCCACGTGGTCTTCAGACCAAGAAGTCGATCAAAGTCGGAGCATTTCAAAAGCATGGCAGCGACGGCATATCGGTCCAGCATTCTTTGCTTAGTCCAAATCTCTACCGGTGGCCCTTGATGTTGCATACCCCTGTGCTTCTGAGCGTGCTCGGTAGCATAGCACAAGCGACAGGACCAGGCAGATCTCTCCCAACCACCTTTGGATGAAGTCGTTGCCAGCATGCCATGGCTACACCAGCTCCGAAAGAGTTCGAGTCTTCTTTTGCAAGCGGCGAACGCGGAGTGCTGAGACGAATGAGGAAGGCCAGAAGGCCGCCAGCATTATTGCTTGAAGCTCCGACAGCCTTCTGCCGCCGTCCTGGTCACCTTGCATGGTGCTAATCCTTCAGGCAATGCTTGCACAACTTCCATGTCGAAACAATGCCCCCTTGGTTGCAAGTCTTAGCCGTTCAGCTGAGAAGAATTGAGAAGATATAGAGCTCAAACATTGCGTGATCGTGCAGCTGTTAATGGTCATAGAAGAGCGTGATGCCCGAAATGTGAGAGCTTTGGATCGCAAGTGCCAGTGATTGTTGCTCCTTCCTGCTGCCCACACTTCCGCGGCAGGTTCTCTTGCATAGGAACGTCACGCGGACTACAAGCAAACCTCTGCGCCCAAGGTGCTTGGTATGCCTGACAAAAGGTCTTGGCATGTGGTTGGCGATACTTTTCCTCTCGCGATTGATTCTGCCAATCTGCAGAGTCCTTCCTTGTGCAGTGATGTCTGTTCGGCGCTACTGTGTGAAAGCGGCGAACCCGATGGCGAGCTCCGGGCAAGCTT